ATTTCTTGAGTATTGTGAGGCATTTGTGTAGTGTGAAAGGTTGTCAAAAAGCACCTACAATTTCCATATTGGAAGATCTAACAAAGCTTGCTACGAGGTATTTTAATCAACCTTCTTCTCTCTCTTTTATTTCTTATCTTTGATAAATATTATTATAATAAAAGCAATCATGTAGATATTTTAAAGTTAATTGTTTAATTTAAATTTCAAGCATGTAAATATCATCAATAAAAGGGGATTTAATATTATATTATTATTGTTTATAATGTTAACTTCGTCATAGGGTACCGATGAAGGGCGTTGTAGGGGTGCTTAATACCTTCCCTATACGTAACCGACCCCCGAACCCAATTCTGGTTATCAAGACCATTATTGGACCTTTAAAAAACTTTTTCTTTTTCCAATGTTTTGAGTAAAACATTGGTGGTGACTCCATGAACCTATTTTCAAAACCATTAATTAAGGATTAGTCTGGTGTCCAGGCATTCCTTAATTGATGAGATTTTCAAAAGGATGTCTAAACCATTAGTCGCGAGATCGGAAATTTCCGGGTTGCGACATGCATTCAAGTCGTTTCAAACCGGAGTGAATCGTGAGTTTTCTGGTTCAACTAGTGAATCGATGGGTCGAACCACAAAAAAAAGTAATAATTTTTTAATTTATTTTTTTATACAAAATAAAAATAAAGATAAATTTAAATAAGCTGAAAATTGAAGTTTAAGATAAGATATGAATTTATTGAAACTTATAAGTATAAAATATATGTAATATGAATATTTTTTAGAAAAATTAATAAAAACCAAGTCATGTGGTTCAATTATTGATCCACCAGTTCAACCTTTGACTCACTGATCTAGTACTCTAATCGGTTTGATGACCGATCCGATTTTGAAAACTATGATTTTTAGTAATTATCATTAACCAACTTTAAATAACTGCTCACACTATTATATTTTTTTATTTTACTTTTAATAATATTTACAGGCATAAAGTGTCTCTTTTCCCTAATTTTGTTATAATTACTCTAAATATATCTTTTGAAATTTTGTGTTACTTCAAAGAGATCATTATTCTGACCAAAATACTATTAATCTAGTATGAGTTACATAGACCCCTTAATAAGTTATCAAATAAATTGATAAAACTGACATTCTTCACACATGCAAAACTAGTAGATTTATTTGATAGCTTAATGACATTGACTAAATTAATGACTATTGACTTAAATGATTATAAAAAAATTATAAATATGAAGATTAAAATATATTTTAAACTATAATGAATAAAAAAGATTTAAAAAGATAAATATAAAGATTAAAAATATAAATTTTAAACTATGGAGACTAAAATATAAATAAGACAATATTAATTAAAATATTTTAACTCTAAGAAAATTAGTTGTATGTATTAATTTATACTATTTTGATAATATTCTTTCTAATTTATCTTTGTCATAAATGCTAAGCAAAATAGGACAAATGATAGAAAAAATCTTATTAAATGAAATATAAATAGTTAAAATTTTCTTTTATTTTTTAAAAAAATACATGTTTTTTATACTCATACTAGAAAACAGGGAAAGTACTTTCACATTATATTTAAAATGCATCATAATATTAGTCTTTATAATTTTTTTTACAAAGATATACATATTTTAAACTAAAGAGACTAAAATATAAAGTATTAAAATAATAATAATTTAAAAATATTTTAATTTTTTAAAAAATAATTATATATACTAAATTTCACAAATTTGACAATATTCTTTTTGAACTATTTTGTTACAAATGACAAAAAAAAAAATACAAATGAAAGAAAAATTATCATTAAAGAAATATAAATAATTAAAATTCATTTATATTTTAAAAAAAATAAATATTTTTTTATACTTATAATAGAAAATTAAGAAACTATAAAATTAAAATTTAAATGCATTGTGATATTAATCTTTAAAAATAAAAAAAATGTTATAATAAAATTAAATCTAGAAAAATCTGACAAAAAATGTGAAAATTAATTTTTTAACGAACCAAATAATAATGATATATAAAAAAACATTTATATAATAATGTTTTAACCTTGTAAATAAAAAAAATTGACAAGATTTAAAAAAAATTAATTTTATAAAGAACCAAAACTAATTCACAAAACCAACAAAACACATTTAAATTATTATACAACAAACTTTTTAAAAAGTATAAAAGTATATAACAAAAATAAAAAAAATGTTAACAATTGTTTAAAAGTATAAATTAATATGGGTGTGTGTACCACCGGTTTCAATATTAACAAATATGGTGTCAGGGTTTATGGTAAATAGAAGCGGGGGAAAGGAAAAAGGTTTATGGCGCGCAGTGGCTTATGCTTTTGTTTCGGGTAAGCTTCCTTTCTTGATTTTTTTTCTTTCTTTTCTTTTAATGTTTTGTGACTTACGGTGTTCGCCTCAGATTTCTTTTAACGGTTATGTATTTGTTTTTGTTAATATTGATTCAGGTTGGAACTTGGAACCACTTCTCTTTGGAACCGAGGTGCACTCTCAAGTTTGGTGCCCTAATTTTTGATTTGGATGGTTTCAATATTAATGCAATGCTATCTCATACATGATTAGCCGTGTGAGTACTATCTTTAACGATTTGTATGTTAATTCAAGGCTTCCTATCAGGCACTTCTTGATAAATAATTGATGAATACATGATTAAAGATTTGGATGTGTCGTTCAATCTGCAAATGTGGTCCTGTTGTTTCTAAATACAGACATAGATCTGAGTTGTTTTTACCCTTGTTTATTCCTATATTGTCATTTCTTATTGTTTGTGACGTTGGATATTCTATCTTGTTGCCAATGTATGTAACCAGTCTTAGTTTTATACTTGAATGTCTGTATACAATATCAAAAGTTTTTAACCACTAAAATTATGGTGGAGTGGTCTTGCTCGATTATTGGAAATTAAAGGATTCATCAGGGAAGGAGATGACAAGGTATAATTAATTGCTTTACTTAAAAGTAACATATCCTTATAGGTTTTACATATACTACTGGAAATTAGGTTGTCATTATGTATTTTATATAAAAAAAATTAAAAAAAATGATTGACTAAACGGAAGCTAAAATACAAAATGTGGTCATTTATAGTTGAAGAGACAAAATAGTCTAATCAAAATGTTTACATGAAAGATGAGAATTTCCTTTATTAATTGTATTGATAAAAAAACATATATATATATATATATTTATAATTACCTAACTCTGTTCATAAATTTCATGGTGGAAATTGCCGGATTTGTTGCCTCTAAAAATCAACAAATGATGCATACAATTGAGTAGTGATCCTAAGAGAAGGTAATTTAAATACAAAATGCTAATATCATACTTGTAGACACTGTCCAATACACTTCCTATTATTATGAGATCCATATAAATTTAACTCATTAATTGAAAATGTTAAAAGAGTTTTGCTCTTATTGTACTTGAAACATAATCATCTAAAACACATCACATGGAAAACTCTTTTTAAGGCGTTTTGAATTGAAGGATTGGTCAGAATGATATTTTTGTATTCAGCATGAAAGTGGAAATGTGCCACACTGGCACTGCCATGCTTTTTTAATACATTCTCCTAAGTCCTAATCTCCAAGCAAAACTATGGTATCATTAGTAATTTTGTGTGATTTGATTTCAGGTTTTCTCCACCCAATTGCAGATCCATATTTAGGTAAAATACCCAGAGCCAACAGAATTGGGGATATGGAATTTTTGAAGTCTATGAGTGAGCAAGATTTCTATGTCTACCTTGAGGCAGATATGTTGCTTACAAGGAAAACTAACAAACCATTTTCCTCATTCTCGGAACAGGGAAGAGGTTGGGCTGATCCTGAGATCCGCCACCAGTGCTCGGAAAAAATGAATCTCAATAAAAGCCAAAGATGCTGCCAAGTCCCATAAACTAAAAGTAACGAAGGAGAAAAGGTAAGAAATGACAATCTGATTTAAGGATGAGGTTGACTAGCAGCAAAAATCAAAAAAATTAAGTGATACTTTATGTTTAGTTTACAATTTGTCTCATTACAAACAAGTTTTCAAACATACACTTACACATTGGCATCTGGAAGTGAAGTGAATTCATCCGTCTTTGATCTTCTCAATTTTTTTCGTTAGTTGTTAAGTGAAGATCAAACATTATGTGGTTTTCATTTTAAATCATTTTTTTTCCCCCCTTGTTTTGTTTATATCTTAAGGAATGGAGTAATAGTTATCCTCTTTTTAGTCTCGTTTTATAATTTTATTATTTTAAATTTTTAAATGGGGTAATAGTAATCTTGTATTTTTTTTAACTGTTTTATCTCTCTCAATTTTTATCACTTTTTTGTGGGACTCTTTGTTTTCACTCATCATTTGTTCGGGTTTTCCACTGTCTAAGACTCTTGTATCATTTTTTTTTTCCTGATTCTTGTTTGTGTTTGTTACTCACTAAGGTTTTTCTTTTTGTTTTGAAGTTCTTTTTGTGTGGACCGGTGGACATGCATATTATAGTTCCTTGCTTTACTATTTTAATTTTTTATGCATTGTGACATTATTTTTGAACAAAGCATTCAATCAAAAGGGTTATTTGATTTCCTTTTAGCGTTTTCTCATTTTCTTCACATCTGTAGTTATGTGCATGTTTTTTGTTCTACAGTTTTCTTTTTAGGATTTTACCTCTATTGAAAGGAGCTAGACTCCAAATTTTCTTAGTCAATCTAATTCTTGTTTATGTCTTTTGATTGCATACCCCCACTTCCTTTAGTGGTTCAGGATAAGTATTTTGAGTCTAGAAAACATAGCACCAAAAACATTATTAAGAGGGTGAGGTGATAAAATATTTTTATGCAAAAAATGGTTTTCTTTAAGAATTGGTGACATGAGATGAGTATTAATTTGAAGTTATTCATAAAGTTGCAATTGTATAGGAAAGACAAATGGCTTTTAGAAAGAGTCCTTAGAATAATAAGAAACCTTTATCATATTTTAGTACTGTTTTGATTAAGAATTGGTTAATACATCTAAAGTTTATTTGAATTTAGATAGGATTCTACTTTAAGCACAATATAAAGTAACTTTAAACTATAATCCATAATAGTTTGGAATTGTTATTTAAGGAAGTTTTAAAACACAAATAAATTGACAAGTTTTTCTTTCTTTCTCTCTATCTTTATTTGAGGATGTTTGGATACAAGCTTAGAAGAGTTTTTGTAAGTTTCTCTACTGAAAAATTTTCAGTAGGGAAACCCTCAGAACTGCTTTTAATTGATATCCAAATAGACTCTTTATATTCTTTGGTTGGATGGTTTTGGGTGAAATTATAAGCCACAACAGCTTTCGGTTTACATTCTGAGATCTTGTGCTGGTGTTGTTTTTGCCTAGTCTATTTGCCATCAGAGCCTTCGTGCACTGAAGCACACACCCTATGTGAACTATAAAGCTTACCCTATCTCTGAGTGTTTAGGGAAGAGAATTCACAGTTACACTGCTTCAAAAACCAACTTTTGCTGTAGTAATTATGAGTATCATTCCTGTGTATACAAAGCGGGGAAGATGCACTTTTAGGTTTGACTGAGACTTTATATCTGGAATCAATTGTTGATTCCATGTGAATCCTTGGATCAAAGTCTGTTGAATTGTGTTCTTTTCTACATGTGGTTTCCCCATGAGGGAAACACATATGCTTGGGTTTTGGATGGAGGCTGGCATCAGTTTTGACTGTTTTGTATTGGCGATGGCATGGGGTCGTATTCTAGTCTCCACAGTATTGCTGTTTGTCTAAAATGTGAAAATTCAATCCTGATGTGAGAACTGTGTCATTGTTGCATTAAATCTACTTTCTGGGTCATATTGGTTGTTTTCTGGAATGCTATCAACTTCTAAATTATGCATTGATAAACTTATGCAAATGCTAGGTAACAAAATTGCAATGGTGTCCTGTTACATCAATCCTATCCCTACTAGCTCTCATCTCATTTCTGCAGATTTATCTAGAAAATTCAAGATTCCAAAGCTTCTTCACTGGGTAACTTTTTTGAGCTGATATTTGTTGTCTTGGTGTCAATCTCTTGCTGATAAGTTCTCCCTTTAAAATATTGTAATTTCTTTTGGTAGCTTTTCTGGTGATATACTTAATAACATGAACATGCGTTGCACTTAAGGTTAATTGTCTGCATGCAGTTTTTTGTTGTTATGCCTGTATTTTGATTTTTTTTAATAAATGATGTTACTTACAGACAATAAAATAAACAATTTAAACTTTTTGGAAGACATGATAAATCATTGAATTGAGAGAGCCTGATGTTCTACATTAAAATGCATGGGCTATTACTTATTTCATAGAAATGGAAACAGATAAAGCTACAAAGTTGAGGCCTAGAATTGCAAAGTTTCCATTGCCTTATGGGGATTTCCAGTATTGAAGTTCAAAACATTTTCTTTAAAGAAGCAAAATATAAATTTCAATCCTGCAAGGAATGTAAATATCTAATAGGTAGAAAGTTGGAAATGGTGAGGCTCTGTAGTGATAGGTTTTTTTAGGATAAATATGTTTTGTCAGTTCTCTATGTTTCTTGGTATTTTTGAGGTTTTATATGGTTTCAATCCTCTCACACCCCCAAATTTGTTACCTCTACCAGTTGTTGCCTTTTTCTTGCATAAAGATGGAGTATCTAAAATAGATTTTGTGAAAAAGACAAGTGAAACGGTAAAAGACTAAATAAAACAACAAACATAGATATATCCTAAATATGACAATAAAGGGAAGAAATAGATGCTCTTTGAAGTAAGGGATTAGGTTTGACTTCATCTTATAAAGGATAAATTTCCTTCTAGGAGAAGTCCAAACTCAACCCAAGAGGAAATTGTCCCTTTTAGGTCCTTTAAAGGATCAATGGTACTACATATAGGTTAGACCACCCTGAGAATTATGGAGTGAACAACATCTTGAATGTTTGTGATTTAAGTGAGCAATACTTATAAAAACTTTATCTCTCCCTAAAAGGTAACTAGGCGGGTCCTCAAGGAAAACAATTAGGAATTCTCTAACTAAAGAGATGTCACTTAGCTCACTTATATTCCCAAGTCTTAATAATAAAAAAAGGGATCATGTATACTTGAATATTTCTTTTAAAGAAGTCCTAACTTGGTTGACAATCATAACTCCACACTCTTACTCTCATCAAAGACAACATTTTGTCAAAATAGACTGATAGGACATGGTTGAAAAATAAACAGTCTATACCAAGGATTATGTCTAGTTGACTAAAAGGAAATAAATCAAGTCATATATAGAAATTCAATAAGCACGTGCAAAGGACATTTTAAACAGTTAATAAAAGTAAACACTACAAAAAAATTTCGTAAAAAATGGCGGTTTTTAAATGGTGGCTTAATTAAACCGTCATTATTTACCTTATATTATGGCATTTTCAACATTGCCGTAATATACATGTAAATTGTTGCATTTAAAATTCCCATTTTTCAAACCGCCTATAATTCATTTAAAAAGTGGAAGTTTTAACTACCATTTTTTAAATTACCTTTTTATTTATAATTTATTGATATTAATTTATGCATTTTTTTACTTCTTGCTTTTTTATTTTGGTTCCCTCTTTCACTTTGCAATCCTAAAATCTCTTCATTTTATAAAATTCCCCTTAAGTTTATTTTTCACCATTTCACTGTTCTTTCTTCGCATTCACCACCATAAGGTCTCAAGCATTATTACCCTACTTTCACCGAACACATCTAAGTACATGTAAGTTTTCAATTAACATTCATTATTCTCTCTCTCTTTTTAATTTTTGAATTGAAGAAAAAAGGTTGTTTGGGTAACCTCTAATATTTGTTTATGCTCGTTACTGGTATATATGCCTTGGGCTATTTGGGTAGCCACTGATGAACTTCTGCTGCAAATCTGTGGTCGTGTAGCTAGTGCTTGGGTAGCCATTGATGCCACCCACTGGCGCGTGACCTATGAGTCTTTGTAGCATACGAGTATGGGTTAGGTCGAGAACAATTTGTATGCATTTTTGAACTCATGCTTCATGAAACTTTATTAAATAATTTTTTTCTTGGATGGATGAAGAGGTTCAAAGAATACATTTATTTATGAGAAATTAATATGGTATTTGAATGCTACAATCTAAGCAAGCCGAATTGATAAACAAAGGCTTATTCTAAATCAACTTTTGAGCATGCATAGCTATTGTAGAGACTTAAAATGTTTGGTATTAAAGATGGCTTATGTGGATTTGTATATCAGATGTTAATTTAATATGAATGTTATTTAGTGTTCATTTGGTCATTCCATTAAATAGAAATCATATGTAAAATTGATAAAGAGAAGGTGTGTGGCATTGTTGTTAGATATTCAATGGAGCTTGATTTGATAGTTAGGTTCATGTCTTGTTAATGCAGTTTCATCCTACCTTTGAGTGTGCATATTATGAAGGGCTCCTTTGGGCAAATACTATCCTTCACTACTTCCCATTCTATATTGTTTTCCTTTAACACTGTTAGATGCTCAACCCTTTCAAAGGCCGAGCTCTGATACCAATTGTTGGAGAAAAAGATACACACTAGAAGGGGGTTGAATAATGTATATCAAAAATTCGAGCTTCTAAAATGTAGTGAAGTAGCAAAAGCATTGACAAACAAAGTATTGGAAAGTTACAAACGAAGGAGCACAAATCTTTTATACTGATTCATCTCAAACACAAAGATTACGTCTAGTTCTCAATCTAACCAGATTGAGTTCCACTATCTTTTTCAAGATGCAAGTATTTTTTCACAAGCCATTTCTAGCTCAACCTAAGTAGTCTTTCACTTGCCTCTTCAAGAAACTATCCAAGTATTCTTTCAACAAGTCTCTCCAAGCTAAATCACCAAGTATTCTTTTCAAACAAGGCTCTCCAGGCTCAAACACTAAGTATTCTTTTAAACAAACTTCTTCAGGCTTAACCTTTACAAATGAATTTGAAAAGAGTTACAAAGATAGCTTCGTCTCTTTTAGAGGTGATGCTATGAAACTTATGTACAACTAGTCTAAAGAACTTTGTACAAGATTTATAATGAAGAGCTTCTTTGTAGTATTTCAGCTTTATATGACTCAGTGTGTTTCTCAACATGCACTTCTCAATGAATGCTTTTCTCTTTTATTTTTAACACTTCTTTCTCTATCTTGCATATGTGTAGTGTTGTTCGAAGGCTTGATCCTTTTATAGTAGTTTCGGAAAAGATGACCGTTACAACAACTTTGAGTTGAACTCTTCAATTTTCTTCTTGAGTTGCTTCGTCTATCTTCTTTGATGATCCTAGAGATTATCGTTGATGCATTTAATGTAAGCATTAAATTCCTTTTAGTAAAGTGTGTATCTTTATTTGATCTTGTAGACTACTTATCATTATTTTCTTCTAAAATAAGCATGGCAGAAGCAACTTCCACATAGAATAGTTGAGGTCAGAGCAGAGCAGTCTAATTTGTAGAGCCTTTTTTGTGATATCTGGGATTTTGCCTTTTGCTCCTTTCAAAAATTTTATCTTTTCCTTTTTTAATAAAATTCAAGAGTTTCAAAGCTTCTTTCTTCTTTGATATGTTAATGAATAACACATTAAATGAGTTTTAATGTTAGACTCCTTTTGGAAGTATTTGTTTTACTATCCTGAGATAGACTGTATGCTACGTCTGATTTCCTTCATCTTATAGATGATATATATATTTTTCACATTTCGTCTGATATGAAACATTTTTGAAGAATGTTGACTTTGTTTAAAAGAAAATATTTTGTTTGTCATCATTAAAACTTAAGAGATCGTCTGTTGTCTTAACACAAGATTTTTTATTTAACACTAGATTTTAAGTAATTAACTGTGGTCAAGAGGTCTTTTATTAGAATATTTGAATTCCATTATATTCTACAGATTACGGAAAAAGATATTGTATTTTTTTTTCTTGTAATAGTGTGTCGGGTGACGTAAATAGGTAATTTAAAATAAAGTTAGACATTTTTTTCCTGTTTCATATTGTATAAATAGGTGAATTTAATGGATAAAGCTTCACATTTTAAATTCGTAAAAAAACTTAGAATCGTGTTTCAAAAATTAAAAATGATGAATTATTTTTCTTCTATAAATATGGTCTACACAATATTCTAAAGCTAACAATCAAGAAAAAATCTATTTAAATTTTAAAAAAGTAAAAGACAAAATATGAATAATTTAAAATATCTTTTTATCCCTATGATTTCACTTACTTTACTTTTTAGTCTCTATAATTTAAAATAAATTTTTAGTCTCTATACTAAACTTTTTTAATCCTTTTAAGCCCTTATAGTTAATTTGGTGTAATGTCGTTGCCTTTGGGTTGACGTGGCAAAAGTCTTCAATGTTTTATTTGTGACATGAAAATTATTATGTGGTTAAATTAAATACCTTTTTAGTTCTTATAATTTCACTTACTTTACATTTAAATCATTATGATTTACATATTTTATCTTTTAGTTCATACATTTACCTTTTTAAACTCTTTAAGTCCCTACTAATATTTTTTGATTAGGATAATTGCAGCAATCAGTGTCATATACTTTATAATATTTTTTTTCTAGAAAACTACTCATTTATTGCATTGATCATTCATTTAGAATACATTTGATCATCGTAAATATCCAACCCTTCTCCCACATGTATTTTAACCGATCAATGATCACCTTGTAACTATGTTGACATCTTTAGCAAATGACCTCTGTGAAATATATTAACAATGAAAATGTGCAAATACATCCCTAGTTTCACATGAAATTGACTTGGTCAAGAAATAAAACATTTTTCCTATGTGAATTCAGAAAGAATAATAGGATGAAGAAAATGAATTAAAATTAACTCCCTACCTTCACCAATATGCTTCATCTCAAAAGTTCACTAATCGACAACATGGTCCGCCATAAAAGTCCACCAAACTCCCTTACACAAGACACCCATCATAACCAAAAACAACAACACCACTACACTTCATTGCACTCCACAAAATATAATTGTCATGTGCATTTAATAAAGCTCACATCACTCACATAAAAATGACGTTAAATACAAATTAACGATAAAGACTTAAAGAGATCAAAAAGATAAATATACAAACTAACCATATCTATTTTAAACTAGAAAAACTAAAAAATAAAATAAATGAAATTATATTATTAAAAAAATATTAACAACAAAATAATTTCCATGTCACATATATAAAATAAAAAATATTTGTCACATCATTACCAAAGAGGCGGTATATAGAACTTATAATGGTAAGAATTTAAAGAGTTTATAAAAGCTAACTATATGAATTTTAAAAAAAGAATTAAATTACAAAGACTAAATGAAAGAGAAAATATTTAAACCAAATAAATAAATAAAGAAAAGATAAAAAAAAAAAACAATAATCTAACCCAAATCTAAAATGAAATGCGAGAGCAAAAATAGTGTGTCGGGTGACGTAAATAGGTAATTTAAAATAAAGTTAGACATTTTTTTCCTGTTTCATATTGTATAAATAGGTGAATTTAATGGATAAAGCTTCACATTTTAAATTCGTAAAAAGAAAATCATTAGATTATATATATGTGTGTTCTTATAAAATATTTAAAAAGTTTGTTATTTACTTAAAAAATATATAAAAAATTAGTTTTAATTCAAACAAAAAAAAATTGGCATTAAAATAAACAGAGATTAAATTTCATAAAAATAGTGTCATACATATATATAAAAAAAAATAGTTCTACAAAAAATGACAGTGAATAGATTAAACATTTAGTTAAAGATTAACTATTTGATTATTATAAAAAAAATATATTTTAATTTTCATTACTTTATATAATATAATATAAATCAAATTATTTTGTTTTATTCACAGATTATTTGAATAAATTCTAAAATATAAGATCATTTTGGACTCTTGTTTAAATTTAAATAGTTGGATATTTTCAAAGAGAAAAATTTTATAAATATTTATTAATCTTGAAATAAATTTAATTTTCAGTGGGTATTAGTTTCATTTGTAGACTTGTTTTTATCTCTCCTAAGTTGAAGGCACTAAATAATTGTAGTATATTATTTGATAACCAAGTGATAAGAATGAGAAATTTATCTTCTAATTTTTCATTTTGACTCTTCTAATTGTATTTGCTTAATTAGATTTCAAAGTTCAACTACAAATGTTGTAGAGTGCAAAGACATAAAGTTAAGGCTCCCATCAATAGATTTAGTGTATGTTGTTCTAACATAAGAATCTATTTAATCAAGATAAAAATTTAATTTTTAATAATCATTGACTTTAACATAATATTGTATTTTGTTTTGTAGTCATGCCAATTGATAAATCTTGGATTATTAAACCATGAAATACAATTTAATATCTAAGTGGGTTGGACATTTTTTTGGATTTTGCTTTTGGACATGCTAATGTCTGTGCCATTGTGTCCATGTTCAAAGTGTGGTTTCAAGAAATGGCAAATAAGAGATATAGTTCTAGAACAACTAACATGTCGGCCTTTTCCTGAAAATTACAAAGTGTGGTATTTACATGGTGAAGGACCAAGTATAAGTGAGTCTACGACCTCTAAAATCACACATGTAATAGAAAATACTTTACAACCTCATAATCCAATGGATAACATGCTCAACAATGCATATGGGTTTATGATGCATGATGCTAATGATTTTGATGGATTTTTCGAGGATGATGGTGAACAACATCATATGGCATGTGATGTTGATAACCAACAATTATATGAAAGTTGTACAAAGTATTCAAAGTTTTCATTCATACTAAAATTGTTTCACATAAAGTGTATGTGCAAAATGAGTGTGACAAAGGAATGATTATGATTCTCGAATTGTTAAAAGATGCATTTGAGCATGCTAAGTTTCTTAACTTATTCTATGAGGCCAAGAAAATCATCAACAAACTTGGTCTTAATTATACCAAGATACTAGCATGCCCAAAGAATTGTATGCTCTATTGGGATGATGAGAATGAGGGCTTAAAAGAATGTAAAAAGATGCAACTCCTAAGTGGAAGGATAAAAAGAAAAAAGCAACATGCAAAGATCTTGCGTTACTTTCCACAAAAGCTAAGAATAAAAAGATTATTTATGTGTTCTAAGATCGTCGAGTCTATGACATGGCATGCATTAAAGGGTAACCAAGATGGCTTGATGAGACATCCTAGATATTCTGAGGCTTGGAAAACATTTGACCTATTTCATCCATAATTTTCTATTGATCCTCGGAACGTACGACTTGGCTTAACTAGTGGTGGTTTCAAATTGGAGCCATGAGTACAAGCCATAGAATTTGGCCAATGGTCCTTATCCCATACAATTGCCCTCTATGGGAGTGTATGGAGCAAACCTCGTTAATCCTCTCTATGATCTTTCATGGAAAACAAATGCATGGAAATGACATAGATGTATACTTACAACCACTCATCAAAGAGTTGAAAGAGTTATGATTTAATGGAGTGCGAACATTTGATTCTTCAAAAAATGAAATGTTTAGATTGCGAGTAGCTTTGATGTGGACAATTAGTGATTTCCCAAGGCTTGGTATTTTATCTGGGTGGAACATACACTAGTCTTGCTTGCCCAACATGTAACTTTGACACGAACTCTTATTGGCTAAATAATGAGGAAAATTTTAGTTTTATGGCACACCATTTTTTAGAAAAACAGCATAAATTCATATTGAGTCGATCTTGTTTTAATGGGAGAATTGAGCAAAAATATCCACCAATAACTTTGTCAAGGTCAGACACATTTAAACAAGTTGAAGGCATTAATGTTACATTTGGGAAACCATTAGAATCTAATGAAATAGGTAAAAGAACTCAAGGAAAGAAAGTTATTGAATCTATTGGACCAGAACAATGGAGGAAGAAAAACATATTTTTAATCTTCCTTATTGGTGATGAGTCATTATTTTTCTTTATTTACTTATCTTTTTGTACTTATTTTAATTTGTTGATTTGAGTTTAATTACTTATTAAGTGCATAGTTTTACTGTTAGGCTTCATTGGGCTAATAATTCAAATTTTAATTAATTTTAATTTACTTTGTCTAATTTCTATCCATTAATTATTTTCAAGTTAATTGTGAAATATTTTTGGGTTTGGATATTATTTTCAAACTAGAGACAAAGTGCCACGTCAGTACCACATCAGCACCTTATTTTTATTTTCATTTATTTTATTTTGTAATTTCGGGTCAGCTTTGACATTGGGCCCATTTATGTTTTTTAGGTTTGAGATACCTAGGTTTTGCTACCCATGCAGCCACCACTTACCTTTAGACGTTTTGTTTTCTCTGTTTCTTTTTCTTTCACGTTTTGTTGCTCTGTTTACCTAAGACTTGCGTTTTTACATTGAGGAATACAAATTGTTAGTTTCCTCCTTTTCTCCCTTGTTGTCTCTACATTTTCATTTTAATGAAAGGCTAAAACCTTGGGGTTGGCTCCTTGAGTGGATTGTAATATCTGTTTGAGGTTCTGTTCGTATTGTGTATCTCTATTCTGCTTGATTCTTCTTCATTGAATTTC